AGAGAGAGAGAGAGAGAGAGACGGTGCAGGCGAGAAGAAGGGACAAATGGATGATCGAAAAACTAATTGAACATCTGCCGATCCGTGCAGAACCAGTCGGATGGACAAGTGGCTGGTGGGATAGATGGACGGTGCAGAATGGGCAAACATGAGTGCAGGTCAAGACGAGGCATGTGGGCAGATGCTGGGCGACGAAAGCAATGCCGACTGGGGTGCATGTATCAAAAGATGGCGGTAGAGTTGGGTATAAGTAGCTGGTCAAATTGATTTGTTTAATGATAAGACAGAGCGGTATGAATCCGGTACCAATGGTTGCCTGGGCAACTTGACGAATGGCAAGAGTTGAGAAAGAGAAAATTTCAATGCGACCACTTCCCTGTGTTGGTAGCATCGTATTGCCGGGTTGGTGGGCGGACGAGAGGTTCAGCCAATGTGGGATTCTACTCGATTCTGACCTACCAGACAACGAAGGATCATAGCGAAAGTGTGATCTCTTCATAAAGACGCCACCTGCCCTTTTTGCGTACCCTTTTCACGCCAACATCATCCCCACCCTGATCCGAAAACAGAGCCAAAGCCGGTTTCACCAGTTGAACGGCGTCGAAAATGGCCTTTACATTCGACATTTCAGTACTTTGCAAAGTATCTTGAATCCCAGACATTCAATCATCCTTCACAAGAGCTTTGACCTTCTCGAACATCCTATTTTTGATGGAAGATATGAAGTCCACGATGGTGTGGCCTCGTTTTCACAACTTCGTCTTGTTGCCATGGTGACTCAGTCAAACGCACCTTGTTCAAAATCTTCTGCTGCAGTAGTTATCGTAATTCCAAGCGTCGGACGGGAGTGGGATAAGAGGGCAAGCAGTGGATAGATGGGCCAATACAGAAAGAACACTGATAGCACAACCGTTTAGGCAGACATTTTGAGAATGGCAAGACTCACTTAAGCTCCCGGAAAAAAATCTGAAAATGTACCAAGTTCACGGCCTGGTGCTGGCAATTATGCTAACTGCTATACCACAGGATTTCGGACAAGGTGCTTTCTACTAAGTCGCCCTGACAACAGGACCAAGTTCGAAAACGGGATCCCATTTTTAGTCATCGTTTATACGAAGGCTTACGAGATTACTAGTAGACAATATATGCTTGAGATTTATTCATCCTTCTTCGTTGGAACTGAGGAAGGACTGGTAGTTATAATTTCCCACAATTTGTATTAGTGGAGCAGATGTTTTCATTTGACCTTACATAATATGAAATGTATTCACCCAATTTCGTTTAAGGTGATGAAGTACTGGTAGTAGAATTTCCTCACAATGATATGAGTAGAGCTGACGATTACATTGAATTTCACATCCTGTACTGTCGCGGTTCGACTCCCGCTGAGGGTGTTCATAAGACCGATGCGAGGTAGAAACTACAGTCGACTGGTGCCTGGATGAGAACAACTTTGGGAAAGCAAGGCTATGTG